GTTCTTAGGATTATATCAAAATCTATTTTATATTTAATTATAAATTTAAATTTCAAATATGGTTAATATCAAGTAGATCTATAAAAAATATTAAAAATGGACGGTGTACATAATACGTTGTAAAATGCACTATTTCTGATACTTAAAATCTTTTTATTTTTTATGGCCATACATCTCGATGTCGAGATGATCAATCAAAGGGTTCTTCAACATTAAAACTATATTTTTTGATGGGTTTTTGAGGTGCATCCGTAGCTGTAGACGTAAGGTTGCAACTTTATGTAGTGCATCTGTAGCTGTAGAGGTAAAGTTGCAACTTTATATAGTTCATCCGTAGCTGTAGATGTAAAGTTGCAACTTTATATAAACTTTTTTCATATCTTAATTATATTTAATATATTGGTACTCAAAAAATATTACTAGATTTAAACCTAGACCCAAATACTGTAGAGATCCAAGATGACATCTCATACTTAAATTAGGTCTATCTCTCACGTCCAAAGTCGGGTCTGGGTCCACGGGCGCCCGACACTTTACAGGGCTAAAATTGAAATTAACAAAAGTATGAAATCCTGTTTTGGGCTTACTTAAATTGGATAGGGAAGGGCTCTCTTGCGTTGCGTAAATGCGGAGAAGAAAGATTGCAATGATTTATGCTCTGGACGATCGCCTTTTTACTGTGGCACGCCAACCAATCGATATCTCACAAGTCAATTTTACGGAAATAACCTGTTACGTCCTGAAAATTACGGGAACAAAAATCCTCAGGATTCCGAATATCGTACCACTAAATATCTTGAGTGGTCTGCTCTATAGAAAAAACTCAGTTTATCCAAAATTCTATTTTTGATTGAATTTACCAGGTTTTAATTAGTTAAGCCAACTAAATGAAGTTTGATAAATTTTCTATATAATATTGCTTTTACTTTTTTATTATCATATCTATGTTTTTATAAAATCTAGTTTAACTAGACCAAATCTTTTATTGATTCTATGACGGATCCGATCTTATAGTATCACGGGTCTTAATTACCAGCCTAACTTAACTAATTACCATTACTAAATACGATGGGCTTTAGGGTAGTTTGGAAAAGCCATCATCATTGTGATTAAATCACAACAGTGTAAAGCACACAATGTAGGGTATGGATAGCAATACTGCAATCAATCGTGATTTGCATTTTGTGTCTAGGTTGGAATGATGAAAAGTGAATATTTAGGTTTCAAACATCATGCAAGAAGATTGACAGCACCTCAACCGTCTGATTATGTCCAGATTCTGTCAAAACAAAGTGCATATGAAAACCATGAGAACAAAACCCGAATTTTTGACATATGGAAACAGAGAGACTCCATATTGTGGAATGATGAGAAAATAAGGTGACCTAATTTCTATGACTAGCAATTCCTGATTCAGAAAGACGGAATCTTTTTTCAAACAATATTATAACTCTCGAAATAAAATGTTAATGGTGGATGATCAGAAACAAAGGCGTCCAGATTGTGAAGGGATGAGAGTTCAGTGTATCAAAATTCTCACAGTTGAAATGGGATGATATCAAACGGGAATGGAATGCAGTGAGATTAGAGTTGAACGTAACGAGGACAAACTCAGTTAAATTCAGACTGATGGAATTTATTATCAATGTAATATAGTAATCTCAATCTTCAAATTGGGATGATACTGCAAGCGCACACAGATTACTAATTCATCAGAACCAAAGATGTCGCAACTTCTAGGATAGTAGCACACAATTGGTAGTGCCAAGATCGTGACCGGAATGATTTTATTCTGGACTGGGTGGAACCAATTTTTGCAGCAAACTCACCCAAAATTGGTACACCAGAAATCCACGAATTGACAGAGTAATAGATCGTAGCGAATTTGAATATGGGATGTAATATCATAACGAAAGATCAAAAAAAAAAGTCTTGTAAAAAAAGGATTAATGTTGTATCCGTCACAGGAGCATATATTTCATGGTAAATTAGGATTTGAAAATAGATGAAATGGTACATTATCACCCGACATAATTATAACATTCAAAAGAAGCATTTGTAAAATTCGCAGACATGGCATCAAGAGAGTCCACATTTTCTCAAGGAAAAAGTTTATACAGAGCTTCTTAAACACAATCAAATTAGAGCCTACATCAAAAATTTCACTAAAAGTGGTTGTTTTGATGACCAAATATCTTCAAATTGATCATCTCGGCATCAAGATGTATGGCTATGAAAAATAAAATGGATTTAAAATTTTGAAAATAGTATATTTTATAACGTATTTTTCGAACTTCAATTTTCAAGATTTTCAAGTTTTCATAGATCCGGCGATCTACATTATTTTTTAAAGCTTTAAATTTTATAAATAAAAATAAATATATATTTTCTGGCTATCACAAAAATTTTCAATATTAAAATCATATTTCTCAACACTAATCGAAGCTGGGCTCTAATTTGATTGTTTAGAGCCTAAGCTCTATACAAACCGCACCCTTCCTCAAAAGTTTTAAATTTTCGCCTACTAGAAATTGCCCGGTCTGTCTTGGACCATTCGGACGCGGGTCCGAACCACACGGAATGATAGAGCGGGAGGGTCTCCAATTTCCTCATAAACCTGCAACTTCTCTTGTTCACAATTGCCTCCAATTCAAGATCCTGTGACTCGAGGGCAGGAAGACATGGATTTCGCCAGAGGCGAAATGAAACTTAGTCGTAGTTTTTAACACTAGATGAAAGGAATAAGGGGAAGAAGAATAGAGTTAATTTGTATTCATTTGCAATATAAAACATGCACTGCATATAAGGTAGATTTCACGTAATTCAAGAGAGGTAATGGAAAACACAAAGCAAAGTTTTCTAGGTGTAAACACCAGAATCAAAATCGATATTGCAAACACAATCCTATGTAAGATTAAATTTTGACCTATAGCGAAAAATATTACCATATAACAAATAACAGAAATTAGAGATCAGGAGCATTATTTATAAGTGGTACGTCTGATAAAACACAACTACAGGGAAAGAGCAGTTGGTATCAGAGAGTGAGAAGAATCCATCAGAATTCCACAACAATTAACACCAAAAAATTTATGCAAAAGTAATTACCCATTGGCAATTTATTAAAAGCACTGTTTCATTACATAATAACATAACGCCAAAACAAGACAAGAAGCAAAAAAAACAGAACATGCACACATTTCACTATAACTATTGCACGCATAAAAGTAATTACCCATTGACAATTTATTAAAAGCACTGTTTCATTACATAATAACACAACGCCAAAACAAGACAAGAAGCAAAAAAAACAGACCATGCACACATTTCACCATAACTATTGCACGCATAAAACCTTGGGGCCACAGCCAAAACCCCCACACCAAACAAACCTAGACCCACTACAGAGCCCACGAGGCTCACCAACAAAACCCACACGCCCTACATGATACCAACCCTGGGCACTGCAATGGCTCGAAGTGGGTTCTTCATCTCGCACGAAAGCTTCAGTACCTCACTCAAATCAACAGGCGAGTCAGGAGGCTGGACCCACTCGAAATGCCTGACCAGCTTGGCCACCCACATAGCCACGGTCACCAGCCCCAAGCTCTTACCAGGACACACTCGCCGGCCAGCACCGAAGGGCGCGAGACGCAGGTCCGAGCCCCTCACGTCGACTGCCTCGCCTCCCTCTGCAACCACAAATCGCTCGGGCCTGAACTCCTCTGGGCGGTCCCAAACACCTTCATCATGGGTTATGGCCCACATGTTGACCATCGCAGTAGTTCCAGCTGGCACGAGCATACCATTGCTGAGTTGGACGTCCGACGTGGAAAGGCGAGCCCAGGAGAGGAGGGGGCCTGGTGGGTGGGCTCGGAGTGTCTCCTTGATGACGGCGCTAAGGTAAGGGAGTTTGGCCACGGCAGCGTCGGAGAGAGGCTCCGTGGGGTCCAGCAAGGTATCGATCTCGGTTCGGAGTTTGGTTTGGACTGAGGGATGCAGAACAAGCTCCGCCAATGCCCACTCTGTCAGAAGCGCCGTCGTGTCAGTGCCACGGAAGATCATCTCCTGCACCCACCACGCAAACCCAGGAAGATCAGGCCTCCGAATTCCGGACAACAATGTCCCTCAAGAGGGCTTGATTTAGACCACGATTTTATTAGTTCTCAAATGACAAAACTGACCCTGAGGGGTGATTTGGGGTAAACCCATATACAAAATTTTATTCCGTTTTTTTTTAAAAAAAAAAGAAAAAAAAGATCGAAATGCCCCTTGGAGGAAAAAACAAGATGAAAAGGTCCCTGGCGCATCTTAACGAGTGCTCCGGAGATTTCATGCAAAAAAAAATGGTTAAAAGAAAACGCTGAAAAGTGGCGCGGAAGCTTGCTAGAAACTGAAAAGCAACGAGTTTGCTACGAGCCACGAATCAAAGCAATGCATTGAGCAACAAGCAACCGGAACGACACGTGTTCCGATAACTACTAATGCAGTCCAACTGTACCTAGAAAATGCACGGAACTTCACCACCACCGAGAAATAATAATATATAAATACTCGACACAAAACAAATCTAAAAAAAAAGAAAACACATTACACAAACTCAAACCCTAAATGTAACGGCACTCGAAAGCAGGTCAAAATGAGCGTACAGAAATGAGAGAAGAGGAATAATATGCTGAGAACTCACCCAAAGTACAGCAACCATGTCGTTCTCCTCGAGTTTCTCCTCGCCCTGGAGAGACAGCAACACATCAACGAAGTCCGCGGCGTCGGCCAAGGTCGAGGCACCGTCGTGGCGCTGGCGGTGCTCGGCGATAATCCCACGCACCAGCTTCTGGACCCTCGGCACCAGCATCTCGGACCGAGCCACTATCCTCAGAGGGTCGTAGAACCACCCGAGGAAGGGCAGGTAGTCCGAGAAATTGAACGCACCCAGGAGCTCGAAGCCCTCGCGGACCATCTCTTTGAGCTCCTGGACTTCGCGGTTCTCTTTCTCCAAGTCGAGGCGCTTTCCAAAGACGCTCCCCATTATGTTGTTCAGGGCAGCGTTTTGGAGGTGGGGGCGGATGGTGACTGCACCATCGCATGCCTGGTCGCGGGCCATCGCAGAGAGCATGGCGGCGCAGTCGGCCTGTCGACCTGGCTCGTGTGCAGCAACACGACGAGGTGCAAACAGATGGGACGCGGCGATGCCCCGCAGCATGCGCCAGTATGTGCCGTTGGGGGCAAACCCGATGGCCCTCTCGAAGAGGAGTGTTTTGGCGGATTTCTTTACGGGGCGGTCGGCAAAGTTAGGGGAGGTGAGGATCTCTCGAGCTGTGACTGGCTCGGAGGCAACAACCACTGGGGTTGAGCCGAGACTAAAGGCCATAAGCTCGGTGGCTTTATGGACTTTAGCCATGCCGGCCAGAGTTCGGTGGGCGAGGCCACGGCTCATGGCAAGGATGCTGCCCAGTATGGGGAGCCCCCGTGGGCCTGGGATGGGCCTTGAGCCCAGTTTCGCGCGGTTATTTTTCCAGGCGAGCCCCCCTGATGTGAAAGCCCACGAGAGAAGGGCTAGAGAGAAAAAAGTGATAAGGATCGCGGTGCAGGTCCATGAGTCAGTGAGACCCAAGCCCGCGAAGCAGTTGGTACCGAGATAGGCGGGAACGGTGAAGACCCACCAGTTGGAGTCTTTAGAAGATGAGATAACGGATCCTAAAATAGAGGCCATTGCTATTTTAGTGAGAGAAAGTAATTAGAATGATGAGAGAGCGAGTTCAAAGCCTCGGTGAGAACGCTTAGTGGTGAAGGGGAGAAGAGGGAGAGAGATTGGGTCTGGCGGTGGTGAGAAAAAGAGGAGGCCATGCCCGGTTTATATAGTGAAAATTATAGCGAATTTCAAATGACTGCGTGTCTAATTTAGGGATTTAATAACTGGGACGTTTATTATTTAATAATGAGGGGCTTTTCTTAGGGGTTTTTTATTGGAAAAAGTAGAGAAAGATTTGTTCTTTAATTTTTTCCTTAATCATCTTTATTTATAGTTTTCACGTGCGAGAGTCTCGTGTTAGAGAGAGAAAGGGGTGGCGTGCGTGGGGTGAACGTGGACCCATAGATTTCGAGGCTGAAACCGGGAGCTGAACACAACGTGTCATAACCTAAGTTTTAGAGAGAGAGAAGCCAAGTAGAGATGAGTGAACGTCTAATAAACTCTGTTTTAGAGAGAGAGAGAAGCCAAGTAGAGATGAGAGATGAGAGAGAGGCAATGGGTTGGGAGTGTATAGAGGGAGAGGCAATGGGTTGGGAGTGTATAGAGAGAGATAGAGGCAATGGGTTGGTTTTTCTTGGGTACCGTACCTGTACTAACTGTGTTTCGGAAGCTACAGTATGGGCTAGGTGGGACCAACCTTTCCTCGCGGAAAGAGAGAACAGAAGAGATGAACCAATTCAAAAGGAGTCCTCATTATGATTATGATCTGGTCATCTATTTCATGCTCTTTTTAGGCAAGGTTTTGCCAATGGCCCGGATGGGCCTAAAACTTAGGGCCAATACAATATCCACTCGGAACTAAGCGGTTAAACTAGAACCCGCTAGTACCGGTTTGCGTAATCCGGCTGAGTATTTTAAGAAAAATTTAAAAAAAGTTATATAAAATCCAAAATAAATAAATGATTCGTTTGTAATGGGTTTTTAAATGTTTTTTTATCATTTTGGAAAAGATTAAAAAGTGTTTTGGTCATGAATACTTATTCTTATATTTTCTTTTTTTATAAAAAATTTAAAAGTGCCTTTGGATACAAATTGATTTTTTAAAATCTTTTTTTTTTTTTCATAATTTTCAACTTGATTTGAATGTGTTTTATTCAAGAGATTGTTTACAAAAAGATCATTTACCTTTTGCACAAAGAGGCCACAATCGTTTTTGTTTTTTAGATTTCAAAATGGGTGGTTGTAATAGTGTCATTTATTAGACACAAATATCCAAAAAAAAATTCTCCAACTTTGTATCTTATTCCAAGCCATCCAATTTGACATCTAATGAATGAGAATAGTTGTGACCTCTTTGTACAAAAAGTAAAAAGAAAAGTTTCTACCGAGGTTCTAAACAATCACATTCGAGTGTACCTCAAAAATTTCACTAGAAGAGGTTGTTTTGATGCCCAAATATCCTTAAATTGATCATCCCGACATCAAGATACAAAGACATGAGAAAAAAAAAGATTTCAATTTTTGAAAATAGTGTATTTTGTAACACATTTTTAGACCGTCAATTTTTAAGATTTTCAAGGTTTTATAGATCTACATTATTTTTTAAGCTTTAAACTTTATAAATAAAGATGGAAATATAATTTAAGGCTATAAAAAGATTTTTAATATTGAAACCACATTTCTCGGCACTATTTGAAGGTAGGCTATAATTTGATTGTTTAGAGTATAGGCTTTATACAAACCGCACCCAAAAGTAAACGGTCTCTTTGTAGACAATTTCTTTATTTAATCATGATTTAAATATATTTTTTAAAAAAAAAATTTGTATTACTTTTAACGCTTTTTTCACCGGATAAGATTTGCTCGGTTAAGCCAATCTAATGAATGAGGGAAAAATTAGATACCCCCAAAAGGCAACTTTCTAAAGTGGTCACTCAAAATTAACACAATAAGAGAACTTAAGGCAAACTTTCTAAAGTGGTCACTCAAAATTGACACCATAAGAGATAACTTGACATATAACATATTTTTTTACAAAAATCAGGACTGACTATACTTAACGTAGGGCTGGCAACATGATGAGCTAGATGAAAAAATTGACAAAAAGAAAAAAAAAGGGAAAATATAGGGTTGGGCTAGGCAATGCTTGGTCAACCCTGCTATGGCCTGGGATGACGGCCCGGCTGGGTGAACCTCCCGTGGCTTTGGCTCAAGCACAACCTTGCTCGTTGCAGCCTGAACCACCCTTGACCCGGTCCGGGCCACATTTTGCGCCTAGAGCCTAATTTTTCATACACGACCAACCAAGCCTCATTCGTTCTCTAACCCTAACCCTAGCCCTAACTTTTTCATAAACTAAATAAGGATATTTTCTATTAATTCTCTGGAAACAAACCCCCTCTTATTTATTATTTGATATTTTAAATTTTAAACTTATGTAGACCAGATGCATGCCGGCAGTGCACTAAATGTTGGTAGTCCATTCTGAATTGCTAATTAAGTTTAATACCCTATTAGTAGAAAACACGTAATGGCTCTTTCTTAAAGCTCGCATTTATTATTTGATACGCTTAAATTTCAAATGTATATGGTGATCTATTTACTCAATGCATGTCAGAGGTGTACCTAATTCAATTAATCCACACTCAATTGGTAGTTAAATTCAATCCCATATTACAAGAAAACAATTGGTAAGTGGATTTCCTCCAGAATCCGAACCAGAAACAGTTTTAGTGTTAATACTGGTGAATGGGTTATTTTTGTTAATCTTACCTCCAGTTAACAAAAGAATAAGCCTTCCTATTCTTTGAAGTTCAAAGTTTGAACTTACTATCTAAACAAATGGAGTGAACCTTTCCAGCAAATCAGTTGTTATCAAGAACATAGAATGGCTCTCTCTCTAGATATATCCCTCTCTCTTTCTAGACCACTCTCTCTCATAAACCTTCATTGTTCTATGAACTTCTCCAACTAAATGGAATAAGCTTTCCATTAAAGGGATCTCTCTCTCTATAGAGCTCTCTCGTGCAGGCTAATCTTAATAATGCCTCCTAATAGGTCTTTGTACCGACTTTCTAACTAATTAATCACCATATCTATATTTTCTTCTAAAGATTAAAGGTAATATGAAAAATAAAATATTGATTTTCTTGATAAGCAAGAAAGTGACATATTTAGTAAAGAGTGAAAGGTGATATAATACTCATTTTTTTAGGGTTGCCTTTTTAGGGGTTATGGGAATGGATCTCTAATATGGAGACGGGTCTCCAATATAGAGTGATGTTGCCTCCGAGAGAGATGCGGTATTCTCACGAGTTTTGTGTTGGTTATGCTTTCATTTCTAGAGAGAGAAAGTCTCTCGGTTGCTTTCGAGATTATCTTTTCGATAGCGGTATTGCGGTGGAAAGAATTTATTGATCGACAGTTTTGCTCGGTCAGGAGAGCGGGCATATCTCTTGTAACCCAAAACTGTAATCTTCATTTGTGATAATGGATTTCTAGTAGCCGAGGTAGCCCAATGAGGTGATCCACATAAATCGTGTGTCATTGTGGTGTGCTTTTTATATTTGTTTTATTTCTCGCATTCGATTAATAGATGTATTCATCTACTTCGCATTTGGCCAATTGAGTACACGATCTTGGGTGGGATCCCGGTATTTGGGATTCCCGGTTTCGCAAACTAATGGGTTCCCCAGAGCCCTACAATTGGTATGATAGTAGGTTTCCCGATAACCCTTCGGCTTGCAGAACCGGGAATCCCAAACACTGGGATCCCATCCATGATCGTGTACATGATTTTACTAAATGTGAAGTTGATAAATACAACTACAAATCGAGTGCGAGAAATAAAGCAAACATAAAAAGCACACCACAACAACATGTGATTTACGAAATCCACTTTCACAATGAAGATTACAGTTTTAGGTTACAAGAGATAATACATATCTCTAAACATCGGTAAAAACCATCATCGATCTTCTTTTCTAAACTTCCTCTCCAGACCGAACAACATCGTCGATCAACATCCTCTTTTCCACCGCAATACTGCTATCGAAAAGATAACCTTGAGAACAACATATAGATTTTCTCTCTCTAGAAGTAAAAATTAACTAATCCAAAACTCATGAGAATACCGCTCTTCTCTCAAAAGCCATGTCTCTTTCTTAAAGACCCATCTCCATATTGGAGATCCATTCCCATAACCCCCAAAAGGGTGACCCTCAAAGGATGAGTATTATATCATCCTTCACTCCTTTATGTAAAAAAAAAATGAACAAAAAGAAAGTCCTTTTCTTTTTTTACATTAATACCTTGATATTTTATAAGAAAATATGGTTATGGTGATTTGGCTATCACCAAACCCAATACCTCTATACCGTATATACTGGTAGTCTAATCTCTAAAAAAACTAATAAATTTAAGCTTTATTTATTTTTTTACAGCATTTTTCATATCATTTTTTATTCGTCTTCTAAAAAGGAAAAAAAAAGTCTTTTTATCACGAAATTTTTTATCATCGCCATCAAATTTTTTTTCTAATTAATTGGGGTCGGCTACACGAATCATGGTTTGTCATTCTGCTCTATTAAAAGTCATTCCCTCAATGAGCCCATAAACCCCCATATATTTTTTTACTAGTTTCAGCTATGTCCTTTTGGACCTGCCCTTTCTCTTTTTTAGCCATCCATTTAAACTAACTCGCACCTCGTAACAGGTATTGTACTGAGTCTACGCCATACATATCCAGCCCACCTAACACAACCCAGCTCTTTTATTTGGGCATATGATGGGTTAAAGATAAGTCTAAGTCATCACCCTTGACCATCATCTTCTCAAAATGAATAAAGGGTTTCTCGCAATGGACGGTTTAGAGTCCGTTGAGGATGATTAGATTCCTTTTACGTTTTGTGCTCCAATTCATCAACCTTTTTCCTAGGGAATTGAATATCTATTTGCTCCCTAAGTAACTCTGCGTTGCTCCCTAAGTAACGCTCCGTGGAGAATTAATTTTAGGACCTCAAAGTTTGTGGATATAACTTCTTCAAATCATATATTAATAAAAAAAAGATGCGGTTTGTATAGAGCCAAGGCTCTAAACAATCAAAATAAAGCGCACCTT